TGCTCTCCAGGTGGTCCTGGCGGTCCTCTATAGCCTGGGATTCCTGGAGGACCATATGTGGTATCACCTGGAACACCCTTCTGACCATCTAAGCCGGGTGGACCTGGAGGACCACTTTTACCATCAACCGTAGATCCTCTTACACCCTCATCACCAGGATCACCAGCTTTTCCTCGAAAGCCTGTCAGTATGATTTTTAAATTCAAACAGGGCATAATTCAGAGGATTTTTAAGAAGTGTTGAACATCATAATGCAAATTTAACTAGAAATAAATTATCACTTTGCAAGAAAAGTAACATAATACAATATACTCTAGATTCCTTATTTACATCTATTGATACATGAGGAATGAAGGGCATCATTCCTGTGGGAACTGATTTTGTTTGGGGCAACATCTGTTTATTTTGTGTATGGTCAATCTTTGTCCAGTTCTATTTGCTAAAATGGTATTAGTTATTTTCCATTTACAGTGCAAATCTATTTATACTGCAGTATTTCCTCCACTGCATTGAATTTTACATCACTGAAGTACCTGCCTAGAGGTAAGAAAGGGAAGTGGTAAAGATTCCTCTATCCCTTTATCCTCCCCTAAGCTTTAGTTGTAGTGTAATTCCCATTCTAATCGACCATGATAGCTGCCTTACCCTGTTTGTGTGCATTTTACCCTGACCAGCAGGTCTCTTGGACAAAGAAAAGCACATTTCACCTTGCGGCCCAGGGATTCCTGCTCCTGGTCTGCCTGGCTGGCCTTTCTGCCCATCAAAGCCATTTGGTCCGGGACGACCAGGGAGTCCTTTTAAACCCTTTTGTCCTGGAACAGAAAGAGAATACGCAACCTATTAAACCTCTAGCTACCACCTGCAGTAGTGATGTCCAGGAGCTGTGTAACACTATCTTAAAATGACTGTTTAAAATCCAGTCTCTTCATTTGTTCTGCTCAGCATCTCTGTATTTTCATGAGATTTTTTCCAAATGTTTTGGAAATGATCACAAGCAACATTAGGCCAGTTCCTGGTACAGTTCTTATTTAATTTGAACAAGTGAAGTCTTGGTAGTAAGTATTTAGATCTTGAGGTTCAGGCATAATTTGGTATGAGCAATGTCAGTCTAGAAATTACAGACTTGCAGCATATCTTTGCTTAACACTCCTTTCTTTCCTGGCATCGTGATGTAGGCATTCTAGGACCTGCCAGAGTCAAACTACCTGCCTATTTTCAGTCTCTCTTATGCATTTTAATTGAAGGAGGACAGTTTCATGCAGCTACCTTCATGTAATCATTTCTGTGGTGGCAGCCTGCACACCTTTTGATCATGCAAACTGCAGCTGTCAAGCCTTTGTTTATATTAGATTAGTATTAGATTGCAGTTTTACAGTTTGAGCGATATACCTTTTTAAAACCTAAAATGTGTACTGTATATTTTTATGATAGTTAATTTTTTTAGTTAGCAATTAAAACTCATTTTCAATTAAGAAAAACAGAAATTTCCCCCATCTGGCCCTCAGTAGACATACCTTGAGCACCTTTAAAACCTGGGTGCCCTGGACTTCCAGGGGATGGTGGAGTAATACAAACTGTCTCACCTGACGCAAGAAGAAAAAAAAAGAAACTGATAGTTTTTATTTGTGAATAAATGGAATCTGACTGTTTGCTGTAATATTTCTGTTAAATTAACCATGTGCACAGGCAAAGAGAAGGGACTATATAGGCGTATCTTCCTTCCCATACTGTATTTCTGGTGGAGGTTTGGTGGAGAATCTTAAAACACATTTTTCACACTATTTATTTATATTACTGGTAGTGAATCAAGATGTTGAATGCAGCTTTGTAAAGACAAATATTTTTATTTTTACTTTGCATCAGCAGAAATTTCTCTTTACAATAAGCTGGGTTGAAAGACAGAGAAACAACATTTTCATCTCAATTCTGTGTACATTTCTTGTTTATTCATATTGATATCAGGCTGGAATTGTTTTTAACCAGGGAATATTTATAAGCAAACTGAGCCACAAGCATTTGAGTTCTCCCTGCTCCTTCAGCAAAAATGCCTTGCCATGCGCCTGCGAATTCTTATATACAGGAATACTTCAATGTGCAAGTACCAGTTTGCAGGTTCAGAGCCCCTAATGATTCATACTCCCACCACCGTTTCCTGTAAAATCCACAGAGTACTCTACTTTTCAGTGGGCATGTTTCACAAGACCATCAAACTTGCCATAATTGCTTTTCACTATAAATGAATGAATAACACTGCATATGATCAATGTTTGGTAGGATCTATTACAGTTCCATAAGTATTTCATCTCTTTATCTCTTAATATTTACATTCAGATTTACCTTTCTGACCCTTTGGCCCAGGTGGCCCAGCACTACCAGGATCCCCGAAGTCCCCAGGCACTCCTCGGACTCCTGGGGGGCCAGGAAAGCCCAGGCCAGGCAGTCCCATACGTCCTTTCACCCCAGGACTCCCTGGGACCCCAGGGAACCCTTTGTCACCCAGCAGTGGTACTCCAGAGTCACCCTAAAAGAAAAGAGTTTGTGGATAAGAAGGAACAAGCCCTAATTTCTTTCTTCTCCTTGATTATCAAAAGCTGTGTTATACAAGTATCTTGGGAAACTCTGGTACCAGTTTAAGTGACTGGATGGATGACATGAGCAGTTTAAAATATACAAAGGCAACTGAACACAGGGCAGAGTCTGTGCCTTCCTGATCCCATATCCACACTGTATATGCAGAAATTATACCCAGAAATCCCACAATGAAAAGTGGTATTTATAAGGAAATCATTTTTCAATGGTTAATTACTATAATATTTGTTTGATCAAAATTGTAAAAGGAATTAATCTTCTATGAATATGGAATAAAATTACACTTTTATTTAAGCAATCGGAAAAAAAAAAGTCACAGAAAGTCAAACAAACCTTGTCTCCTTTCTCTCCAGGCAATCCTAATTCCCCATCTCTGCCATAATTTCCTCTTTGGCCTGGAAATCCTGGAATCCCTCTAGGACCTCTTTCTCCTTTTATTCCTTAAAACAGTTGAAAAATGAAATATGACATTTACAGCAGCTTTTTAAAATTTCTTTCTGCTCGTATAAGTGCTGGGTAACCATTTATTATATCTGGATCTGTATTAAGGATTTTCAATTCCTGAATTCAGATTCACTTGGTGAGATATTTTGGGCTCAGGAAGGCAGTATGAAGTTGGACACCTCATGGAACAACTTGGTCTCTCTGTAAAAGGCATGTTTATAGGCACAAGAATGCAACTTCTTGTCATTCCATACGCAGAGAGTAGAAATGTTTTGCTACTGAAATCAGTCAAAGTTTTAATCCTTGATTTCACTGAAATTGGCACACAGCCTTGCCATGTGGCACGTTTGCACCAAAATTCCTGAAAGCTGTGGATGTGTGTGCCTGTGTATGTTTCTTTTCCATTATTTATGAAAATGTAATTTTTACATCAAGAAAAATAAAGGATTCTTGACACAGTAAAACAAGTCTCTAGATTTATTTTATTTAGATTCATTTTGCTGGGTCAAGAAATACTTTGCAAATAAATGGCATATGTTCTACCCCACTTCAATATCCGTAAACACACATGGGCATCCAAAACTAAACTAACTCTTTATAACCGGTAAGTTAGACTTTCTTTTGTTTGAACAATTAATTTAGCATTTCTAATTAAGTTTTGCCGACAGATCACTGTAACTTGTTGTTTTCAGCTTCTTTTGCAAATTATCAGCGTATCTGTGAAGGGTCTTTGATCTGTTTAACTGCAAGAATTTTGTTTGTGCAACTTGTGGCCTACTGTTTCTCTTCAAGGCCTGGTTCACAGTAATTTTTATAAACAGGAGCAGGAATTTGAATGGCTATTGAGATTTAATTTTTTCCCAGGAAGAATGTTTAAATGAAGGTAACAGATGAGACACTGTCTTATGGCACTTCAGAAGATGTGTTGTTATACAATCATGTTTCTTCATACTGTGACAAGAATTGTGTTCTGTTTAGTCTTAGCTATATGGACCTTGATAGGATCCTGGTTATTTTTTGGGACACAAAGTCATTTGTTACCATTAACAGCAAGTTGTTAAACCTGTTTCATGTCTCAGAGTAAAAAGTATAACTTGTTTTGATCAAGATGATGATGAAATAGATAGTACCAAGAAAGCAGTCTGGATAAACCAGACTTCTAGGATTCAGTAACTTGGCAAATAATAGTTTTAATAAGAGTACATGAATGCAGTTCTCTCATTACTTAAGCATCACAGAGGAAGCAAAAAAGCTAATGATAAAATGCAGACTTGCCTTTTATTCTAATTCTTCCTGGGTCACCTTTCTCTCCTTTTTCACCATCTTGCCCAGCAGAACCAGGTGTTCCCTTGCCGTTGAACAACAACAAAAAAGTGTAAGTTACTCTCAAGCAATGAAACAATATATACAGTGGGAATTAAATATCCAACATGGGCCCTAAAACTAGTAATGCGTGAAAAAAGAAACACTATCCCTTTTGACATCTATAAAGACATTTCTGAACAGAGCCTTGTCTTTTCAGTTTATCTCTGCCAAAAGTGCAGAGATACAACTACATAAAATGAAGTAATTCAGGAAAGAATTGGGCCTTTCTCAGCTGTAGCTTGAAATGCAAGAATATTAAGATATAAAGAATTCACAAACTCTTCCTCTTGCAGACTGCAACCCTGACACCACCGAGGCAAGCAACTGGAGCATCACAACTGCTCAGTGAGGCTGCCCTCCCGCTACTGAATGTGCCGGTAAGTAGATGAAGTTTATATAGCAAGAAAGACATTCACACCAATTGACGAGACTTGATTTTGATGGTTTTGGTAATTTTCCTTCTACAGACTAGTAAATCAAAGGCAAAATCTTAATTCCATTTCTGCCTTTTTGCTAATACATGTATCGTAGAGAGACACGGCATTGTCCTGGCACCATGACCGAAAATGGAAGATTATAAAGTAATATGGAACATTGAGGGGATAAACACAGCACAAAAAATAACACCGCCTTTCTGAATCTGTGGCAGAGAGAGACTATATTCAGACTGCCTCATCAAAGTAATTAAGACTGTGGATACCGCTCTAAATATTTCAAGCATTGTATATGAAAAATAGGAAAGACAAGAAAAAAGAAAATTGCTTGAAATGTCTAACTAAAATGAAGGTTTCCTTGCCCTGCCACCCTCAGATGAATGTTGACATAAAATCCATCTTGACCTGCTAACGTCATGCAGTTCTTTGTCTTAATAACATTTTGCTGGAAATCCTTTCCTTTAAAATAACTGAAAAAAATTTCACAGAGGAAATCTGTGTGTCAACAATATTATCATGAAAAATGGTGGGTATTCAAACCTAAAAGTAAAAAAGAGCTGAAACCAAAACAAAATGAACACACACCAGCCTTCCCAAGCCTCCTGACCACCCCACAGAAACAGCAGGGGATTCTATTCTTTGGTATAAAACTTTGCCCCTTGATGCAAGAAAAAAAAAAAACCCTAAATAAGCTGTAAAAACATGTAATAAGGAGACATAAAAGCAATGTTCAGAGAATTTTTCAGAGCAGCTTGTCTCCCCACCCTCCACCCCACAAACATCTCTCTCATGAAAACTACTCACAGGGAGCCCTGGTGATCCTATTGCACCAGATAAGCCTGGACTGCCTTTTTCTCCATATCTTCCAGGGTATCCCATTTGTCCTTTCTTTCCTTGAGTACCTGGAGGTCCATGTATACCACGGACACCAGGAGGACCAGGACTACATGAGCAGAGGCCTTGATTTCCTATGTGGGTGTTGCAAAATCACATTCAAACAGTTGCAAAATTAGTAATACTGCCTTCTACTTTTCTGTATGTGTAACGCACAGAAAATTTTATTTCATGATGGCCTTCAACAGACGTGAAGCATATCAGTATCCTTTTACAATATTGAGAAACTGCAGTATCAGGATGATTATTAATTCAGAAGCCACAACATGAACAGGTCACTTAACGGACCCTTCAATAGGCATGATCCTTCAAGTCACCATAAACTGCTTGCAAATTTAGACCTGAGATGCTGATAGGTCTGGCTAAGGTCTTGTATTTAAAATGCTGCTATCCCGGCTTACTTACCCTTTTCTCCTTTTTCACCTTTCCTTCCTGGAGGGCCTGTCTGACCTTTTGCTCCAGGTTCTCCAGGTACTCCTCTGTCAGTACAAATTACACCTTTAAAGAAACAGAAATTGTACAGCTAATATAAATCAGGCTTACTGTTTTCACAACTTAATGCACGTGTTCTCTTTTCCCTTATTTTGGCATCTTCACCTGATAACTACTGATCTGATGAAATGCTTTACAAGACATTGCTTACAGATCATTCTACAAAAGTCAGTCTGGCTAGAGTCCATGTTCACACAAGTGCTTTTTATTTTTGCTACCCTTTCTTCCTTTCCCATTACTGAACTTTCTGGCTCTTGTTTTTTTTACAAAGGATGCTGATTTGGGCTTCTCTATAATGAGCTCTGTTTTTAAATTCAGGTCCTGTATTTTTAAGGAACATTTGTCATGTTTGTTAGTATGATGGTGGAGAAAGAAGAACATTTTTGTTAGTGCTGCACTCCTGAGTCTATTAACGTGCAAAATGATGTTGCCCCGTACAAACCGCTGTTGCTGCTGAACCTACTGGGTGGCCCAGGTAATCCTGGTCTTCCTGGCTGTCCTGGTAATCCTGGCAGCCCAGGAAATCCTGGTCTTCCTGGGGTTGATTCACCTGTTCCAGGGAAACCAGGGTCACCTTGAAAACCTTGTGGTCCTGGTACCCCACTTGTTCCTGGCAGGCCAGGCAGACCTGTAAAGAAAATAATGATATATGGCCCATACAACATCATAATAAAGATTACTATGAGATAGCAATAAGGGAATTATAGGCCATTGAGAACTATCCTGCAGAAGAGCTTCTATAACAAAGACTTAACTGGGCAAAATCCTCCGAAATGCATCCTTTTTATTTATTTGTCTAGTTTTGATTCATATCTTTTTAGGTTCTCCAAAATTCCCAGGAAAAAAAAGAAAAAAAAGGATCCTGCCTTGGACCTTCAAATACTCTCTTCTTTCACCTCATTATCTTTTTTTTTCCAGTCACCCCAGCCAATCTTTTTTTTCCTTACACACAGCAAAGTCCACACCTTGGATCATCCACATCATCTTGGTTTTCATCTTTTTGAGCAGAGAAGAGAATTTCTGGGCACAGCACTCTAGATACAGGCATACCACAGGGTTGGAGTGGTCGGGAGCATTCTGTTTTCTCTTTTGTTCCTTTCCTAGTAATTCCTAATGTTTTATTTGAGGCTTCTTCCTTCTTTTTTTTTTTTTTTTTGGCTCTTACTTAGTGCTGAGCTAATATTTTTATAGAACTGTCTGGAAAGTCCACATCTTTACTGTTAGTGACTCACTGCAAACTAGAATAAGGAGTTTTCCTACAGGTAGATAGTTCATATTTTAATCCCAACATCTCTTACTTGTTCCATCATCTCCTGGTCTTCCTAGTGGGCCTGCAGGGCCAGGTGGTCCAATCGACCCCATATCACCAGCAGGACCTGGAAATCCAGGATCTCCCTGCAGACCTACACAGAATTTTAAAATATGTGAATTTAACATCTTACACAATTGACATCTTAGATTTAAAGTAAGCTGCACCTTGAATTATAATTCAGGAACTACACAAACTACCATTACCTAACATGGGTCTTTTTCATAGGTCTAAATATGCTAAACAACTAGCCTGGCAGATCTAGCTGTGACTGCATTCATAAAGATATTTAAAGTAAATATTTAATCTGAAATGTGTACATCTAATATAGGTCCAGTAAGGTCAGTGGGACTCGGATGAAATGCAGGATGTGGCAATAAGGGAGACAGTGTTTTAGGATCTCTGGTGAATCACTAATGATGGCTTTCAAACACCTTAGCAAAATAGGTCCTGCACACTTTATATGGTAGAAAAAGTAATAGAAAATAGCTATAACCTTTTACAGGAAAGAATGGAGCTCCAACAGTTCCAGGAGGACCTGGGGGCCCTTTTTCTCCAGGATCCCCCTGTAAAAATCCAACAATAAAGTTTACAGATAGATACAAGCATGCACTTTGCTAGTGTGTTACTGAACTTTTCAACAATAGTGGGGACACAAAGATGTGGCAAATCCAGATCACCTAAGAAACTCAATTCTGACGCTTTATAACATTTAAGAACAGACAAAAATTCTTTAACAGTAATTAAACAGTAATATACCTTAATGCATACACATTTACTTGACATTTTGGAACTTGCAACTGCTGTGTCTTACTTCATTCACAGTATTGTAAAACAGGGCCAATTACAGTAAAAATAACTGAAATTGAAATACTTTGATTTAAAAATAATTCTAAAATTGTTTTAAAATTGTATAAAAGAAATAGGAAATTACTTTTATGATGACAGATAAGCATGAATTAACCTGAATCAGTTGCATCGATACATGATTATTTTTCTTTTGCTCTGTGCATAAGCAAATGTAGTATCATCTTCCTGAATCTTTATGCAAACATTCCAATTTTTCCTAGCATTTTCTTGTGACAAGAAGTTGTCTGCATAACAGCAGTAATTGTAATTGTCTGCTTACACTTTGCAGCATTAACTGATGGCTTCTGAGGCTGTGGGCTAAGGAACAGGGATTGGAGAGGTTCTGTGTATTCATTGTGATACTCCTTCTTCACGTATTTTCTCTCATTTATTAACGATGCCCCTCACTAAAGTAATATGTTTATCACAGTGAGTATTTATTAACAACACGACACTCAGGGTTTGATTCCAGTTTTGAAGGATAATGGATTGCAATGATATTTCTATTACTGAATGAGACATGCAATGTTTACATCTAATTAGCATCCAAATGATCCTGCATTGTTATAATGCTAGCAATGGGTAAAAGGCAGAAAAAATGTATATCCATGGAGAATTTTTTTCCAACTATGACTACATAAACTCAGAAATAACTGTTGGCAAATGGGAATCACCAGCTCCTGTGGTCAGTAATGTGGAGTTCCCCCTCTCATCATACGCACCAGACAGAAAAGTTTTCTCCCATAGTTACTTACCATTACTGTGCTGAGTAACTACAACTATTATCAAAACAATAAATCTTAAAAGTAGTTACTATTATAGAAAAAGCAATGATCTGATAGGCAGGTGCATTTGGGAAGAACTATTACCATCTATATAGATACATGCACATATGTGTGTGTGTTCTTTCTTTTTACCTTTACGCCTGGATAGCCAACTTGTCCAGGAAAACCAGCAACTCCTGGTTCTCCCTGGAAAAGATTACATAAATATCTTTGGGTAAATCTCTTAATACATTAATGTTGCACAAAAATCAATATAGCAGTCATACTGGCATCTTATAGCAACATTCACAGTTTGTTTGAAAGAACTTAACTGAACTTGTTCAACAGGATTTAATGGAAAATGAATTCTGTATTTCATACAATCTCTTCAGCAAAACAACCTCCACACGCACCTTTTTATAGATCATCAGGTTATTTTAGATATCAGTCAGTGGATACAGTGCAGCTGGAGCACAGAACTCACTGGAACACATACGAGCAGGCTCTAACAGATGGCTTCTGTTTAATGTAGCTGAAATTGGCTTGTGGCTTGCTGAATGACCCTCTTAAACTATTACTGCATGGAAAGCAGCTTTATATATCAGCTTCTCCTATCTTTTTATGATCTATTAATATATTCATGTATCCAATATTCATACTCTTTTCAGCTGACAGTGGTATAAATCAAAGTAAAAAGTAATTTAGCAAATAATACACCTGGAGAATAATTCAAGACGCAAATATCTGTACATTAATGTGATTTATGAATAGATTTATGAATACCTTAACTAAATTTGGTGATCATTTTGGAGAAGAGATAGGAAAAAAGCAAGATGTACTTACATATGCTGTGCTTTAATTCAGAAAGATGTTGTAAGCTCATAACTAACATTTCACAGACTTAACAGCAAAACTAGAATTTCATGAGCCAGAAAGGCAAACAAAATATATATGTAAGACAAAGTGACAAAACTTGCCAAGGTATGTAACTTTTCTATCATGATATCTGCATGTTCCACTTGCTATTCCTTTCGCTCACAACTTTGGATACCTTTGCCAACTTCTGCCCAATTTCAGAGAGGGCAGAGGTTCCAAGGAGAAGGAGGTCATACAACTTTAGTGGCAACAGTAGCAGGGGAGAAATGAGGGAACGCAGTATGAGCTATCAAGCATCAAGAAATTCCAAATCTACACAAATCCATAGGAAATCAGTCCTCACTGATTCCACTGCTCAGTGTGCTGCTTAGACTTTATTTCTTACCTTTATTCCAGGAACCCCTGCAGGTCCATAAGATCCAGGACTACCCTGTTAAAAGCAAGCAGATTGAAAACTAAAACAGTGAAAGGCTATTCGAAACCACACCCGAACACTTAATATTCCTTAGATAATTATTACCCAGCATAATATTTCCCAGTAGTTAGCATTTGCAACTATTGTGCATGGGCATGAATTTGAACTATAGCCAGAAAGTCTTCACTTAAATTTTTATTATATTGTACCAAGCATAATAGCAGACACATTGCTCCATGTGAGCACTGTTATGCAAATCAGGTGGAAACTGCTGCAAACACTTGACACCAGTATGTACTAAATACATTAAAAGTAGTGTTAGTACTGTGTTATCACAGTAGCTTTGTGCAATACTAAATATTTATTGCAAAGTCCCCAGATTTGTTGTCTTTCCAGGGACAGAAAATATATATGATTTTATGCTTACGTCTGGGATGAGGTGACTCCCAGAGCAAGAAATGTATAAATACTTCAGATCGAAAGACAAATTTGTTTAAAAAAAATCTTTTTAAATTAAACTTACTTAATCTAACCATCAAATATTTGCTAAAATAATCATACTGACTTTGGTAAATAGTTCATTCTGCTTTCTTACCCGTACTCCAAGGAATCCAGGAATACCTTTTTCACCCTTTTCTCCTCTCCCAGATACACCCTGAAACATTCAAAACACTTTCTTTAAGCAAAATGCTTGGTAAAGTGCTGTTATAAACTTTATTTTATGTGCATGTTTATTAGGTTATGTATATATTACATTAATAGTACTTGTTTCACTTGGTAGGTTAAGTTAGTGGGGTTTATTTCATACAGCAGTGCTTCAATTATTCACTTACAGGTCAAGGAACATAAAACTGTTGCATGTAAAAAAATCACATTACTTACCTTAGGTCCACGTGGTCCTCTATATCCCGTAACCCCAGGAAGTCCTTTTTGACCCTAAGTGTACAGGAAAAGCTTCTAAGTGTATTTGGATATGCATGATATGCCTATGTGCCATTTAACTTTCCTTACTGTGATAAAGAGCCATCTCTCAGGCAATGAGCTTCAAGGCCTGTGGGAAGGGTGCCGAACGGGTTTTCTACTGAAGGTGATGGTTTATTACAGCAAGGTATGTCCTATGTATGACTCCATTGCAAAAACTACATCACAGGCTTGTACTTGCCAAGTTGAGTACAGTTAAATGCAAATAGAGATTAACACCTTTTCTCCCTTGAACAACTGAGCTCCAGGAGGTCCAATTAACAGTGGTGAGCCTGGTGGCCCAGGAAGTCCAACATCACCCTGCAGAAGTCAGAGGAACAGCAGAAGGAAAGTTTTTGTTCAGTGCAGCAATTCAGTGAGACTTAGCATGCATACTGTACTGCAGAATTATGTATTTCTTATGTATTTCTTTACTCACTAAACACGTGCAGATAAGTCAGGGTTTGTACTGAGGTCTGTAAGCTTCTCTACATTCTTCCCCGATGAGCATGGCTGAAAATCTTAATTCACTTCTATTCTCTCCCATCATTAAAAAATAATATTACAGTTAAGGAAATAAATGAGAGCTCTGAAGTCATGGTTCCAGCTCTGAGCCAGTTACATGACTGTCACTCTTTGCTGCCACGTTCCAACCTGAAGCCTTTGAGCACATGGCTTCCTGCATGTAAACAGGAGATTTGCTATGGAAAGTTATGCATATTATAAACCTATATGGATTCCAAAAAGCGATTAGACCAATTCATGAAAGAAAAGTCAAATATGCTACTTTGGTGTTGGAAGCCATGAATATGCTCAAAGGTGGAGACGGGGAGAGGAAATAAGGCTATGTGCTTCTCCTGCTCTTACAGAATCACTGCAAGATCAGAAAATCCAAAGATCCACATGGAACCCACACACCTGTGTATAGTCAAACCAACAAAAACTCAAACATGCATTTCTGTTCAGGAGATCTTCAATAAATGGAACTTAATTTCTTAGGATGTGCTTCTAATTCTAGAGCAAAGACAGCTTTAATACCATTTGTTTTCTTACCGGCTCCCCCTTCTGTCCATCCACTCCAATGCCTGGATTTCCCTAGTTGACAAAAAACATACACAGTTTACAGATAATCAGAAAATCCTGATAACAGAATTTAATTCAAAAAGCATCAAAAAACCTGATAACAACCACAAGAGATGTTTCAAGATCTGTATGAATTAATGCATTATCTCACTAACAGCTTCAGGAAAAAAGTTGCCTACCTGTTCACCTGGGAAACCTGGGAAACCTGGTGTACCCTTTAAAAGAAAGAGAAGAAAAGTTAGGATGTCTCACATAAAAAGACAGCTTTCTTTTGAAAATTATACCTACTTGACAGCATCACACAGGGTTAGAATCTCCACCTGGGATGCACCCCTCTCCACCTGCAATTTACCTCACCTGGTTGCTACTTTCAGAAAGGCTGAACTTTGGCTCCCCCCTTTTCCTGTCTCCCAAGATGGGCTTGGGGAAGGGGAATAAAGGAGAGAGCACTACTAGCATTCTTCTAGCTGCCAGGGTGAAACACTGTCACATAGGCATGGGAAGGAACAACGGATACCCCAATTCTCATAGTTCCAAACTTACAAGGTAAGGGAAGAAACTCGGTTTTTTATCAGCTACCTCAGAAATGATGTCTAGACTTGAATTCATACTGCCTTAATTGACAATAAAACAAGTTCTAACAGCAATAGACTGGAATTTGTGCATGTCCTGAAAATATGAGGCTATGTAACTGTGGTGATCTTACAGGCAAGCCTGGTTGGCCTGGGTATCCAGATGGGCCTGTAGTACCTCTTGATCCTCTAGGTCCCTGAAAAAAGATGGAAAAAAAAAAAAAAGACTTCTTTGTGAAAAAACTACAAGCTTTTCCTTTTCTTCACAAAAGCAATTTCTCTAAAATGCCTGTATTGCTTGGACTCAGTCTACAGGCCACTGACTGCGTTCCCCCCAGGTATCCTTGGCCTGAGGTTTATACCTCTCCTGAAATGTAATGGTCACTAGAATAGTTCTGCACTAGTTTTTGGATGGTACTGTACCGATACTGAGCAATGTAAAGTTATACAGTATCAATGGATTGAACAAATACCTTTTTAGCAGCTGTTCTAGAGTGTGGGAACTTGATATAGCTCATCAATTAATATTTTTATGGAGAGTCTAAAAAAAGATCCCAGAGTCATAAGAGTGTGAGTTTATAAGAGCTCGGTAACCGCGTTAAATCCTCTCTCCTACCTCTGTTGTATTTTTATGGCCAAAATATGGTAGAATGCTACATGTTCTTGGAAGATCCCAAAGATATTTTTAAAGAAAGTGTTACAGCTCTTTGCATCTTGAATCTCAAAAAAAAATTGACAGACTTGAATATATCAGGTGTAACAGTTGTCCAATGCTTTGCCAGTGCTTCAGCCCAAACCACAGTGCAGCATGGGGCAAGGTTCATTTTTGCTTCTTTGAGCAAGCAAGAGCCACCCATGGAGGCAATCTATAGGAACTGAATTTTTGCTATACTGTGTTTTTGAATATTGCTATTTATGAAAGGCACAGAGAAATCCTAATATTGCTTTATTATATGTAAAATGTATGTATAAATCCTGCTGACTGTACTTACTGGCATGCCAGGAGGTCCAGGATCACCTCTGTCTCCCTGTAATGACAGTCATTTAACAAATTAATGATTTGTTAAGTCTTATTAAAAAATCTTTGACTTTTAATTGTGGAAATTTTGTAGCTTTATAATTTTTAAGATCTTAAACTATCTGATCAAGTTGTATATTTGCATTAAGCTTGCTTACAGCAAGCTTTATTAAACAGTTAGGATTTTTGAAAATATTTAAATTTGCCATACATATTTTTGTTTTATATAAAAAAAAAAAAAAAAAAAAGTCTTGTCAAATATTCTGCTCTGCTTTCTGATAGCAGAGATTCATTGGTATTTCCCTTGGCTGTGTTCTTCTGGTGTTCACGTATCGCTAGGTAATCCATAAGAACCACTATTGCTTCATCAGCATTTTGCAGTTCTTCTATTTAACAAGATCCTTAAATGTAAAATTTCCTTCTTGCCAGGGAGCAAAACAGCTCCTCACAGCTTTTGGACTTCTGCCCTGTTAGGGACTCCTTAGCTCTTGGGTACATTCTAGAGTCTTTTCAAACTTGGCCTTTCTATTGGTATTGCAGTCTCTTATTTCACTGGGTCAGTGGCTTTATTTATTATGCGCTCTATTTCTCCGAAGTTCATGCCACAATTTAGAAGAAGCTACATTAATTCTGCATTAAAAAGCTGAAAGCATGGACGGCTTTACATGCCTAATATTTAACATTTCCAGACATTAGTAAATACATTTCACAGTTTACAAAAAAATGTAAATCCAACACTGAAAGGCCTTGTTTATCATAAAATTAAGTTTTAATGCTACTTGCAGTGGAGTTACATAACTTAGTCTATCCTAGCACCCTCAAAACCTCAATCTGTCTTAGAAGGAATGATGACTGCTTTTGCAAAACTTATTTTATTACTTAAATATTATGTCCATGCTACATATTTAAAAATGGATATATAGAGGCGTTCCTTCTAAAGTTTTTCACAAGATATCCAAATGTAGTGAGTATAATTAGTTGGAATCTATAGCCAATTAGCTGTCGGCTTCAATAAACTCGGTACTGTTATTCACAGAATTTAACCTCTTTAAAGCTGTATCGTTTTGCTGATATTTATGTGGCTGTTTAAATCCTGAATCAGAATAAGATAGATAAAGTCTTTACCCCTGGAATGCAACAACAAAGAGAAGAGAGTTACAGCTGCTTGCAGCTGCATATATCTACAGTAGCCTGTGTACAGAGAGCAGGTCAAACAGCTGCAACAGGAAAATATAAATTTGTCTTTGCATTATTTAACTCATGTTTCTAAACACATTTTACATCTCATCTCTTACATAATCAAATCTCCTTAGTAGATTCAGTTTGTTACCCTCTACCTGACTTAAAAGCTCTCACAAACAGAAACCCTGTTCTTTTCCAAGTTACTCAGGAGGTAAATGTGCAGATCTTAAAAGATAACAGAAGTAAAGCTGACAAGTATGCATGTAGCATTACATAAAATTATAAGAGACAAAGTTTTAATTAGGAAAAACATATATATAATTATTATTATATTAAAAAATTATATTTATATTAAAATATAAAAAAATAGCTGTAATATATAGTCAAGATGGTACTTGGTGCAACAAATTGATTTTAAAACAGGCAATTTGCATAGAGAGGTTGGAATGACATTCTTGTACATGAGCAAATGTAGCTGCAATGTTTTGCTTTTCTGGGCAGTCAAATAATTTGCATTGGAGTTTTAGTGTGAATATCCAAGTCTACATGCCTATTGTGTCTCCATTCCTTTTCAAGTTGCAAATACTTTTCCAGCTCTGCCCAAACGCATGCTCCTGGAGTTGGAGGATTTGTGCTATAATTTGTCCAGTGTCTCATTTTCCTTGTATGTAACTGTGGCGAATTTCATTTTGAAAGATGTAATAAGTAAGGAAAAGCAAGCAGAAGCCATTTTACCATTTTGGAGGATAACAAGGTTACCTTCTGAGGTGTAGTACATCAGATTATCTCTTTTTTTTTTTTTTTTATCAGGTTGTGAGTTCAATAGACTCTATGGTAGGTCCAAGACTGGAAATGCTTTTTCTGTTTATTTACTATATTTTATATTTTGATAATGTTGTCTTGTTATCTCACCGTTTGCACAGTTTTTTATTGCCTAGGGATGAATCAGCATGTTGTTTATCTCCTAGTAAGCATATTTGACTTTAATTTAATGTGCAGTTGGCTTTTTTTGCTTTATTTAGAAAATTTTAGGCAAGCTCCTAAACCAACTAATGAGCTATATTAGTCACTCAGAACTAAAACCTGTTTCTGCAAAAAGTTAGGGACTAGATATGTTCAGAACAATTTCTTTAGATCTATAGCAATTTATATCATTTTACAGATAGGACTTAGATTTACAGATAGGTGTTTTTTATCTTCTTTAATAAGGCATTGCCAGACTAAATATTTAAAATGGGAAGCATTTTTAAAATCGTTTAACAGGAAAAGTGACCAATATAGAAGTGCTAACTTTAACCATTTTAACTAAAAGGATCTCTATGTATTTGGATAGACACCCAGGCAAGCCTGGCTATGCACACGGCAGTTGTGAGTAGATACACGTGAGGAGCGGCACACGGCCGCTTACAGCTTTAAGGCCAGAAGTCTGGAAGAGATTCATTGATATAATTGTGTGATCTACCACTGAAAATCTTCAACTGTTACAGATTTATACTTGCTGAAACTTTTGCTAACTGCTGAGTCCTCTCAGATGTATCCCTGCTATTAAGATTTTTCAAATGGTACAATGGTCTTGAGGTATTCCTTCTCAATGATACTTTCTTAAAGTGCTACTGGCTTTGGCATGGTTATGTGTGAGGGAAATAAAGTGGAACTTAACTCTTAAGTTAGACAAATATACTTTAAGGATAAAAGAACTTATTTAATATTCAAATTTATATCTGTCAAGTTACCAAGTGTCTTATATTCCCTTTAGCTTTAGTAAGAATGAAAGTTGTATGCAACTTAATGGTTCAGTAGAGAAAAATATCCTAATACAGCAGATGAGCCCAAGTATCTGCAGCCCTAAAGCTAGTGCCATAGGCTAAAGCTCCTTCCATGTTAAGGCCTGTTATCTTGGAGAGGAAATGCAGATATACATCATCAATAAACAGTAAGAATTCTTGTAACATACATAATGACCTCTTGGTCCAATGTATCCATTTTCGCCTGGGAATCCTGGATCTCCTCTTGAGCCATTGCAGCCATCCAAACCACGTTTACCCAGGGGTCCTTCACTTCCTGGTAATCCCTGACAGACAGTTTAATATTTGTTACAGCTAAAACTTTATAAATAGGGAACTACTTTTTTACTGAACATAATATTTGAGACAAATATCCCTGGACAGCAACAGAGCACACCTCACAATTTTCTCAACTTCATACTTTTTAGGATTAGAAATGTTTTCTGTTGTGATCAATAGTATTTGTGTGTGTGTGTGTGTGTGTATGTATAACAGGTGAAGAATCTAGACCCTAAATTTTTCATATCTTGTTCTTTGATGCTTAACAAATATGACAGAGACACCACAGGATCGAAAGACCTGTGCAAATAAGAGCAGAAAGTATCCGCTTTTACTTCCGTCAGCAAATAACACGCTATTTTTCTCAAGGAAAGCAAATTCTAGTCCTCACACCTCTAATCTCTCTTGTAGAAAAGAAAGAGCCTACAGCCTTTCTTGTAGGCTGTAAGGAAAAGCCATCCTGCCTAAGAATCACATAGCTTTATTTTTGAAAGACACACACAGATGTCATCTTAAGCAGTCTCATATTTTTTTAATCGATTAGGACAAAATAATGAAAAACAGGACAGAGATTGAATTGAACATACCATGACTGCAAGGAAATATAACTGTATGTTTTGGAACCAAGGAGCTGATTTTTCAACCTAGTACAAATTAACCAATATCCAGACTGGATATTCAATATTCAATAGTACTGCAAATGAGACACCACTCACTAGAAGCAGCGAGAAAAATTCCCTTGGAATGTTCTTTCCACGTGAAAAAATATAATTATGACAATTGAAAATTTTGGTAAGGAAAAAATAAATTTGCCGCAATTTTTTATTGTTCTTCTGGAAAATGATCAGGAAAGTGTTCTGGAAAATGATCAGGAAAGTATGTGGTCCTTTTTTTTTTCCTCTCTCCATGAAAAGGATACCTGTTTATTGAGGACTCTTCTTTCTTGTGCTAAATTTTAGCCTTGTGAACTGCATATTATACAAACACTCTGGCAGTATTCCTATTGTTAAGTATAGACAGCTGACAAGCAGAGGCTAAGGCATTCCTTCAGTTTCTGCTTCTGTTTTCACATTCAAAATTCAACATTTTTTACTTTGAGCTGCATGAATTCAGTTATAAGACACGATATTTTTCAAAATACTGGATCTTCTAGCACACCATTTTCACAATGAAAACTACAGTCACAAAAATGCATAATCGCATACACATAAATATGTGCCTAAGACCGACTTCACTTGTTCAGTCCCTATGCAGGTAAATCTCACTGAACTCAGTGGTTGCTTTTTTCCTGCAAAAGGTCTTCAGGCAAAAATCAAAAAGTTTGAACAAAAAAAGGATACATGATTGGAGATACATTTGGAATTACGACTGCAGAAAGCAGCCTGCTACAGAGCCTGAAAAAATAATCTCATAATTTTTCCTAGCTCTGACACTTATCTGCTCTATGAATTTAGGCCAGTTTCTGCCTTCACTACCACTATAGGGACTCTGTGGAGTTTATTAACACAATTGCTAACACCTATTTTACATTTTTGCAAGCTGTATAATGCTGTAGGTGACGTTAATAACAGGTATAAGACCTACTAATTTATGGAATACATTATTCTATAAGAGGACTTGCTATGACTTTACAGATTATAATTTTTATGAAGCAATGTTCACTCAATACATACAGGAACACCATTTAAACCAGGAAATCCCGGGACTCCTGTGGGACCCTAAAAAATAGGTGACACAGAAAAACAAAGCTGTTGATGTCATTAACCCTTAAAAAGAATGAAAAGCAGTAATAAATGACACTATATAGTGAGAAGGAAGAAACAGTCTTGTTTACAGTCATGAGTTTGAGTTATATTGCAATCAGAAGTAAGTATCTGACAAAAGGTGCACAGCCTTAGCATGAAACTACTCAGTTGCTACACAAATACACATGGTCCTGGGCAAATGTCAAATTCTTAAGCTCAAAATCATTTTCTGAAGACAGTAAAACTACACATAGCATATGGCTATAACATATAAAATAATTGTGCAGGTCACTTCAGAACTCTTCTCCAGTTCTGGCAATACCAGCAGGGCATTTTCTGTACGTACAGCAGCACGGCTTACATCTCACGAATGACAGACATTGACCTTTGAATGAGACCATTGAAACTGATATAAAGCACCAAGGGCAAAGCAGAGGTATTGTACAACTATGAAAGATAAGAAGTTATACTCCCATCACAAAGTGGCAATGTTTTGCTTAGTGTACAACACTGCTTTAGAAGCACCATACTGTCTTCCCCCAAGCTCCACATTCCTTCCACAGCACTTGCTGAGGTTAATAATGATGATACAGTGTGTGTCAATTAGAGTCTGATCTCTTTCATTTTATTTATTCTTCTGACATTTCTAATAGAGCATATATCTCCCACATAATTTTTTTCCAAGACATCGTAATTGATTTCAACGACAATTTTATGCGAGCAAGAGCAGGGTATGGCAAATGCTTTTTTATCATTCAGGTTCTTTTTCACTTGGCAATATTTACTATTATATATAGCATGCACTCAAAAGAACTGTCTGTGGTGTTTCCTACCTTATCACCTTTTCCTCCAGCTGGCCCAGGTTGCCCATTCTCACCTCTCTGACCTTTTTCACCTGGCAGACCAGCTGGTCCTGTAGATCCCAAGGATCCAATGGGACCTTGAGCTCCCAACTCACCAGGCTGACCCTGAAAAGAATCCAAAGAAGAAAGTGAATAATGCAGTAAATCTCAGAGTGTTTTGGAGATGATTCTAGGGCTAACATAAGGCTTATAATGCACACATACTCAGGAGCTGAAGTAGTTTGCTGTACAGACTGCAGGTCTTTTACATGCATTAGATACTACAGGATCACAGCTTCTAATTTAAAAAGTTCCTCGGGATGGTAGTTTTTTTCACACGAATTAGGTGTCCAGCACCACCTCTGAGATACTTGGGAGAGACAGGAAGACCTGCAGTTTTTCCATAGGTAAGCAGTACCTTCTGCAAGCCTAGGGCACCACCAAGCATCACATTTTTGCCACCAGAGAAGTGGTGGTTCATCTTAGGCAGAAGGACTTTGTATATAAATTGAGAAAGTTCATTCTTTTTTTCAAATCATAATGTAAGTTTTTAGCTCAAATATCTTGTGTCATCTCTCTGAGATTTTAATGCCTCATTTTAAGTTTCAAAGTTTGCAACAGGAAAAAGGGTAGTTATTAGCAAGCATGTTTATGTAACAGATCGTATTACCTATATTATAAAGAGGGTACAGAGTCTCATTTATCTGTATGTAACTGTTACTGCAAGTTACTGTATTTACATTACCATACCAACCATTATATCTGTTTTTTACCAATTCTTCCAAGGCAATATCCGTACTCCATAAGTAACAAAGATTCCCAAGCCAAAGAGCAGCTGGATTGTTTTTGGCTGAAGGGTTGGTACGAGACTGCTTTGGTTTTGTTGCAGATTTTGTTCTGTGCTGCTAAACATCTAAGTCATAAATTTATAAGTACTGGAGAAAATAATTTCTAATTAATCAAGCTTGAAATATGAAATGTCTGTGCTTTTAACCCTACAAATCCTGTGTGTTTACAGGTCTTTATTTCTTATCATTAGCATTTCTATATATTTGTTTCGCCCTAACTTGTTTTGTCTTTCAGTTGAAGAGTGCTTTGCTTTCTTTTTCAGAATTAACTTATTAATTATATCGCATTACTGAAAGAAAGAACAAAACTGAGCCCTGTGCTTTCCAGAGAAAAGCACACAGCTCTAAGACCACTCAGGGCACTACCATTTTTTTCAGTACAATCTCCATCCACTGAAACAGTGGACAATACATTTATTTCTATGAATAGTTTGAAGAAAAACAACATGTCAGAAATCAAAGGTGTTTGTAGACAGTTCTGTTGGCTTTGAGAGTCAGATTACTTGGAAGCAATAAGCTGTATTACACTCAGAGTAAACATTTTAAATAACTCTAAGTCTAGTTGTAACTCCAATATTTTCTTTTTTATTAATTTATTTTTTATTTTTCTTCTAAAAATGATAAAAATGGTACTTGATATTTTGGGCATGAAGTTAAGAAAGGTAGAGGATGCATCATTCTGTCAAATTAGCAAAGAAATAGTTTGGAGTAAATTACACTTTAATGCTTGGTACAAAAACATATTATTGGCGTAAGCAATACCAGAATCATGTCTGGATCACTAATGGCCCTGAAGCTATGAGGAGTTTAGCCAATGGACTAGGAAAAGAAGTCCTACTCCTGCAAATAATGGTAAGAGAGGACTGCGAAAAACATCCTGTGTAACTCGCATTCTTTCGGTCTTTTCTGATTCTCCTCACTTGAGCTTTGATTTTGCTGCCAGCAATGTCATGCAAAAAAATCCCGGGCAGAATCAGCAAGTTGTCTTGAGCAACAGTTAGAATAACCAGAGAATTGTAACTTGAACATTGTAAAATATTATGCAAATTCAGGACTAGTGGAAGTAGATTCTTCTGATTCTGAATTCTTTTGAACAATGTTCAAGTTACGAGTCTGGGTGGTGTTACTGAATTTGAATGTTTGCTTCCATGAACAACTGCAGCTTGTGAAAAAACAAAATGAATGGGACTAGTAACATAATAAAATACAACTGTTTCAACCATTCTTTCTACCGGGGGAAGTAATATTTCTCATTCTGAATTAGCTGTTAAAACACAGCACTCATTAACAGGATGGGGGGTGGGGGGGGAAGGCATTAGCTATTTTTCACGCATACTCTAAGCATTAACAGTATAGTTTGACATGAAGCTTCTGGAGCAACTTAAATATTTTTAATTCATATTGTACATGCTCTGCTTTCAGGATTTGAAAGAAAATTTTCAAATCATGTTATATTCTTTAGACACTTAAAGACATTTGATTTTTCACAGTACTCAGAAAACCTTAGACACTGCATGAATTCTAATTAACCTCTACGACTGATGAATGAACACCTCCAGGACAAGTGGCCTTTTAGGCTGATAAAATGTCTTAAGTTAGTTTCTACCTTGTGTATTTAATTGCTTCAGGGTTATATCTTCAATAGGAGGTAGTGAAGTCAAAAAAGAGTAATCACTGAATCCAGAATTCACAATAGATTTGACAGCTGATACAACTTTAGCATGCCATGTGAAGCCTGTGGATTGTCTCTCTTTCTTTCAGTTCAAAGTCTGATAGTGACTGATAATGACTTTGTAAAGACCAAACTGATACCATGTCATAACATCTATTATCACATCTATTATTTGTGCCCATCCAATGTGACTACCACTGTAAAGGACAGCTGTCCAAATAAAGAGGATGAAGGTAGTCATGCTCATGTGAAAATGACAAATTAGCTCAGTTAAAATGGACAGAATATTATGCCTGCTCTGCCATCTGATGCCAATAAATTCCTTTAGGATTTCACTGCCTTGTTAATTGTCTAGGTCAGGAACTACCAATGCCAAGACTATGGTCTGTTGTTTTAGCATATCCTGGGCTTGACCTGCATTAAGAAGCTGACTTTAGACAAAACAAGACTGTATTTTTTTTAATTAAGCATGCTTCCTAAGATTAAGATTGCAAATACTTCAGAATCATGCAGCAAAGCATTTAATAGTGTTTAGAGAGGCCAACGGCCAAGGTTTTTTTTGGAATGACACCTCATTTTGGTTGCCCTGGAGTGAGATACCTCAGAGTACCTGTTTTTGAGTGCTATGAGCACTAAGTACCTAAAAATCAGATATTTTAAAGGAGTCTTAAACTGGAAATGAAAGGGGGATTAAAAAAAAAATCTAAAAAAAAAAATCACAAATCACTGGGAAATTTTGGCTCATGCTACTGGACTAAATTCTGTGATTCTCTTCTCATTGCTAATCCAGTCAAAAGAAGCTCAGCTATTCCTTTCAGTTAGAACAGTGCCATAGGTTATAGTCTATATGAAGGTTTAAATGATTTGTAAATTGCATTTATCTTCTGTTCACACAAACAAAAATGAAAATAACTCATTCACAGACCTGGGTCCTAGGTAAATAATAGTGCTCTTTTTCATTCTACATGAATGCAGATTTTTTTTTTTTTGTATTATTCTGTCATGCAACCAGGGTCCTTCTGATATTACCAAGGCAGAAGGAAAAGGGAAGGAAGGGGAGTAATACGGAGGCAACAGTGGATAACACACAGGCATTTGCAGACATATATTTTCCTATGTGATTTGCTCAGTGAGATGGCAGCATTTGCTCCTCCTCTGAGCTCCACCCATTTCCTCTCCACTTTTGGAAGAGTGAGTCTATCCCAGAGGGCCAAGGCTCAGTTTCCAGAGGCTGTAAGGTGTCTGCTCCTTCTCCACTGTAGCTATGTAGAACTGGGACCAAAATAATTTTATTTCAGTTCCAAAAACTACTTTCTAAATACTAAGTTTATGAACATGAGATACAGATGAGAACATACAGCTATTTAGCATTAAATCCATTCTCTTATTTTTACTAAAACAATTTTCTTTGTGAGTTAAATGGTAACAGATTTATTCTAATATATAGGATATACTTTATATGCAGTTTGTCCAGAAACAGCAGATCACTTAATGACTTTTAAATATTAGGTAACGTCTTCCTATGCACAGATTTTGAGTTGGTTAAATGCAACAGTAAGATGTAAAGCTTGACTGGTCTCTGCATGTAAATCGTATCAGCACCTTATTTGAAAATTTTACCCTCTTTCTGAATTTTTTTCTAATGATTCAAAATGCTACAGGAACATACTGCCTGGCAATGCAGCTTAGAGTTTACAGTGATAATTCACTAAAGCATTACAAAGCACAGGGAAGAGCTGAAAACCTTTTTCAGTGTCCTTCTTTTTGTTTTCAACCCTGTGCAACTATGAAGAGAAAAAGCATCCACTAAGCCAGTGGGTGTCACTATTGTGTTAGAAAAACTGAGTGAGAATTTAGCACTGAAACTCTTAAAAACTGTTAATGGCTGAAAGCAGAGAGCTGCAAATGGGGCATTTTAGACCACAAATAATTAACATCAGATTTACTAACAAAATCAAATTTATTCCTCTTCTGATTCTGAAAAGAAAGTTACGGATTGGCAATATCTGTGTCCCATAGATTTATGAAGATGAATGGTTTTATAGAGCTTTGCAATCTCTCAGTCTTCTTCAGTATGTAGAAGGCTGCCAAATCTTCAGTAACTGAGCAAAAATATTGTATTTAATATGATGGGACAACCAAAATTACTGAGGAAAGAACATATGAAATAAGATCTCTCAGGACAAAATAAGAGATTATTTATCATAATCAAAACTTTGGGGAAATTATGAAACATATCTAATAGGAAAATTGCTAATTTACAGGTCTTCTAGGTGGACATGTTGTATGAAAAACAACCACCTCAAAGAAACTTTACAGCGAGGAAACTAGAGTGATGCTGTTCCTAATTCCATATCCAAGTAAACATGCTCCAATCTCTACCAGTTCAAATATGAACTCCTGAAACCAGAGAACTGTCTAGGGCCCATTTATAGACTTGTGGTCTGCTTCAGATATAGGTCCAGGGGCCTAGTTTTTCCAGGGCTGCTGTTGCATATTTCTCGCCTAATCTCTGTGAAATATGATAGAAACACTTCAGAAACACTAGCTTCAGAATTTCAGAAAAAGGATCCAAGAGTATGAAGCAAACAGTGGGCCAAATTTGAGGTGCACCCCTAACTGTAGATTCAGCTAAAACATGTGTTTTTGATGTCCAAAATAGGTTTTGTATTTGCTTCCTAGAATGCAGTTTTGGAACTCAAATACAATGTTGGATATTCCATATGAATAACAAATTGACACTTATGTTCTACATACACAAAATTTTAACAGCATATTAGCATGAAAATAGGCATGGTTTAATAAATGCCTCTTGGTCATGAAAACAGACAGAACTTGCACAATTTTCCAGTTAGTAGATCTTAAATTAATTCATACTGTTCTATAACTTAGCCTTGGTTAACGCACAGGAACTATAATCAGAATGTGATAAGAGTAGTGATGCCAGAGGACCAACCTACCACAGAGTTAAACTTCGCTACTTTTTACCTCGCTACCCTAGATGTATATACATCAGCTGACTTTCTAACTTACCTTTGACAACAAATTGATTCAGTATCTTGCATGAATGTTTATTGTTTGTAATTCATATGCCCCCAATTGCGAGAACTTCTTGATATGTTTTCTAGGTTCTCTCTTATATTGCATCAAGGACAATTTTGAAACTACTGTGAAAACAGGCCACTCACTTTATAAGCAAAAGAATGAACATCAGTCCTGCTGAGTTATATTTGCTATTCACTTTGCTCCAGGCATTTCACATGATCTCATAGCAGAAGCTAGATCAGGTTGGGTCATGAATAGACGCTTGCTTTCTAAATCTACTTAACTCTATCAACAAAGCCAAAGAATTGAATGGGATAAAACTGCGGGGTCGCCACAGGACAGGTTTATAATCCGTCAGTGCTAACTGCAAACTTTCCTTTTTAACTATCTAAATTCTGTTGGAGCATCCAGCATTTCTGAACACCTCTGATAGAGTTATCAAGGAACTGACTTAGAGAACAGAGGTGAAATGTAAGAAAGGTTCCACCACCAGATGAGGGAAGTATCAGAAGAAGATTAAAATCGAGGACTGTAGGATTGTATGAGAGCAAAACAGAAGAAGAAAAAGAATTTTTCTTCACCTAAAATTAATAAAATGGGCTGCCCTTACCTCTTTAAAGATTATACATCTTGACTGGGAGAGAAGAGGTAGGAGGAAGTCTCAGCTGTTCAGACCAGCATGCTCACTGGTTTATATACTCCCACTTACAACTTTTTCCTCATTAATTGCTCCCTAGTTCTTAAGCTAACATGTATAATGGCACACGCTACATGCAGAGACTTAACAGTACAGTTTAACAGAGTTCTATGGCAGAAAGAGTACTTCCAAATTCTGACATAAAATCAAGAGATAAATAGTATAATTCAAAAATGATTCCAACAAGGCTGTATTCCTAATATAAGTTGACATTCTATGGTGATGTGTCTAACTGTAATGCCATAAGAATGGGATATGCTACTAGGAATATTGACAAGGATGTTTTTCAGACAGTGCTTTCTTGCTAGTGAATAGCAATTCAAATCTTTTTATTCTATAGAACAGTGTTGCCTAAGGGTGAGGGAAATAGGTACACAAGCTCTTCTAAAACCTAGTATAGCAATCAGTACATACATATGCTTGTTTATAAATAAAATATCGAATACAAGTTTGAATATCTGCTCCTACTTTCCTTCCAACTTATCTAGTTTCTCATCATCCAGCTATGGCCACCAGTTCTTCAGTAATCATCCCTTCTGTAGCTACAACCTGAATTATCCTGCCCTCTTTCAGCGAAAATTATTTCCTATGTTGACATTTTAAAAGATTTTTATGTGGAGAAATAGGAGCTAAACTCTTAATTTCCATCACATTCACAGCTGGCTGCACAAGTTTTTTATGCTTTCCTGGTAATCACAGCTTCAACTAATCATACTAAACTTCATGGAGAAAAAAAAAAAGCTCATTGTGTACTATGCCAAAGATACTGGGGCAAGAGCTGAAGTCCTGCTTTCCTATGGAAACTTCTGAGTATATACATGACACTTCTGACAGCCATTCTGTTTACTCAGGAACTTTAAAAATATTTACAAGTTTAACTTCAGCTTTCTATTCTCTCACTATCCCAGTCTTTGTTTTTTTTAGGGGACAGAAGTTAAGGAATTCTACTCCAAATCTGGAGGCGGGGGGGGGAAGAAAAAAACTTGTGTACTTTCCCAGCTAAAGTTCCAGGGAGCAATGCTTCCACTGAAAGTGTAAAAAGGCAACATTCTAAAATTTGCATAAGGGCAATGTCATCAAATACCTGTCATAGTGTTTTGTAAGTCAACAAAAATCTCTTAAATGAAACTAGAAAACTTGGTTCACAGTCTGCTGACAAAGTGAATCCTTCAGCAAATGGGCACACTCTAACTATGAAGCTATAAAACTGTGTCTGAGAAGGATGTAGGGAAGTGGCCACTAGCAATGTGTTGAAACATGCTGCTTTTGACAACTAGCTAACTACTTAAAAGCACAGAGCAACCAAATATACGCTCTTACCCCATCTCGGCTTCTTTATAGAGAAGATTTATTTAATAATCTGTACCTTACTAAAATTTTAAGTTTGCATACTGTACAATGACAGAGCCTTTCAATGTTCATCTATTTCTTGCACTTCAAAGAGAGGACTGGAGAAGATTGGAAACCTCAGAGGAACCAGCCTGGCAGCAAAAATCAGACTAAAATGTAGATAAAACATTATTTAGTGTTCTAGAAAGCTGACAATAAGATAAACGTGTATTTTATTTCATGGGTAGTCTCCACAAAAGCTAGGAAGCAAAGTTAGTCAGTGTGTCAAAGTGCAGACAGATCCCAGCCAAGTACAGAAATGAGCATGGTTATAGGCTGAAAAAAAAAAAAAAAAAAATGGATTGATCAATTCTATATAAGAGAACTCATCATTATGCATAAATACAGAAAATATTTGTAAGTATCTGAGGCAAAATTTATTTATATATGACATATAGTGGATGAGTCCTTTTACCCCTCGCATTTTGACAAATGGTAATAATTTTATGGAATATAAATTCATGTTACATTGGAAATATTGTATCCATCAGTGTGTATTGCTGTTTAGGATGGAGTACAATTCCCAGATTTAAAATATTTTTAAAAATATTTATTGCTCTACAGAATGCCTATCTGGCACTTAGATCCAAATCCTTGGAAGTAATTAGAAAATTAAGTGAAAATGCATGAACCTTGGCTCAGTTTAACTGAGATGGGGAGGACAGCTTAGTAATGAGCCCTCATGAGTGCAGTGCGTGTTTATTATTGGCTGAATAGAGCCATGCAGTCCAGAACTTCTAGGTTACTGAAAGAACTAGATTTGTGAGAAATTTCATGATCCATTTTTTTTCCTCCAGTTTTAAAGTCAGTTGTTTTTAAATAACACTTCAGATCAGGGTTTTTTGGTATCCAAATCAGTCTATTCAGTAGCGCTGAAAGACACTATGACACTGCTAGCCAAAATACTTTTCCTGGGACGCCCCTTTGTTAATACAGTGTTACAGATAGACACATCCTAGGCCCTGTATTACGAAAATCCTACAACACAAGGGACTTTCATATAGACATAATCCTGGAGGATTAGGATAGTATCCAAGGACACCCAGGCAGTGATCATGACACAGCAAAGCATGCAGCTGACTGCAGCAAGCAGAAGCACAGGAGGCAAAAGGTGTGCCCTGCTTCTGTGGCCATTTCCTCAGGTTGGACACAAACACATGGAGAACTTCTCAAAACTGAGCCACAGTAGTTAAGTTTTCTAGTCCTAAACTCTGAGTGCTTTGAACAAAATTTTCTTCTACTAACTGAAACTTTCCCTTTTTTCGCTAATCATGGAAGGTATTTAATAAGTCCTTTCCTCATATGACACTTAAGTCACTTGCTATTGCTATAATTACTGCATGCTATATACATACTTTGAGAAAGAACTATAAGTATATAAAAAGTAGCTATAGCTGGACCATATTTCAATGGATAAATAGCAATGTACACACACTTCCAAGAGATGGTATCTAGTTCTTACAACTGTTCAAGTAAATATCAAGACGGGGAATATGCAGAACTTACTAGTTGTAGCATATTATAAGAGAAATACCTAAGCTTAATTTCACACTTTACAATTATTTATAGGGCTACGACAATTCAGATTTGTTTTCTATTTAGTAAATAAATAATAAACTGATCAGAATGACATAATCAAATACCTAAGTTCTCACAAAACTGCTAAAAAGGAAAAACATTTTCTTAAGAGATAATTAATACAGACTTTTTTTTTTAATTTAATACATCTTAGTATACATAATACATCTTAACCTTTGTCTAAGCATCAGGATAATCTCAAGAGAATCTTCTCCTTTACAACACCACCAAAGCTACTGAAATTATTATACACCTAATTACTAGCAAGCCTGCCCACAATAGATCTTAACTTTCTTTGCCATTGCTGTACTTCAGTGATAGAGAGCAATGATTGTATGTAGCAGGTTAGCATAATTCTGACTTGTTCATTTTCACTTACTTTTGTTCACCGGACATATTGATCTGAAAGAAGTGATGAGTACCAAGGAAGCAGTACTTACAACAAGAGTTATCAGTAGTTCTACTTATCACTTACTCTTGATCCTTTTTCTGGAAAGCACCGACAAACTGAACAATCCTGTCCCCCGCATGGATCAATATATGCATATTCACCCTAAAAATCAAAAGTTTATGAATTTATTAAGATGCAGCAGACAGCAATTACTATATCACATGATAGAACATTTCATTAGTTTTCTTTAAATTGTTAGATATTCCTGAAAGGGTAAAATACTAGGAAGAAATTGCTGTTTAATTGCTATCTGTTATAAAACTAAACATACTTTGTGGAATCTATGTCAGAATGTTATCAGAATTGAGACTATTACTTTGTATACAGCTAAGGTATGCCCTAAACCTTTTGATCTATACAAATATCATCTAAATAAATGGGTTTTTTAAATGTATTTAAGATCAAAAATATGGCTACCCTTGCGTAGCCACAGGGCAATTTCCTGCTACACAGGAAACCTGGCTCAGCAGCAACCCTCAGGTTACAGTATAGCGCTTCAACTTGACACAATGAAGAATGGATAGTTTTGATCTGAGAGAAAAACCATTATCTTAGAGGAGTGATGCCCACGCTTTCAAGCTGGCAAGCCTGCTACCTACTCTTATGAACAGTGGTGATTTGTGTGTCATTTGTCATTTGCAAACACGTGCCTGGGAGTGGCCTCTGGTCTGGCAGTGGAGAGCACAGGGCACAAGAAATGCCCTCCCTCTGCTGCTGGGAGGTGGCCAGGGCGCTTCTCTGCAGCGCCGGGACCCAGCTCTCCCGCTCTGGGTGAGCACTGGCAGCACAGAGCACAACTGGAGCCTCCAAGCTGCTCTCACACGCTCAGCTTGCACTTTGTTTTGCCAGTCATGGGGCAAAGTGAGGGTGAACTGCACTACCACAGCACGTGACCTGCCTCTCTGATTATTTACAGTTGTTCATATTAGTGATACAGAAGCAGCAGCACATCTTCAAAATTTTGCTTCTCCGAGGACTGAAACATGATGATGCCTCAGTATCCTTGGTGGCAATCCAAAAAGGACCTGTTTGCTATGCTGATGTTTATTTAGGTTGAATGGGCTAGAAGTTGTCTATTAGCATCATATGAAACTTTTCCAATGCCTAATTAATGAAACACCCCTACCCTCATTTAAAATCCCCTTAGACATCTTAGCATAAATATTCTGTCAAAGCAAAAGCAATAGGCAAAAGCATGATGTAGAAGGTGAAAGATATTAACTGTGTTTCATTTAGTGAAGCTAAATATTACACATAAATATAAACATGGAAATAGGTCACATCTAGAAATATTTTAACAAAGTCAGAATTGAATCTGTTACCATTTGTAAACCCATTGCCATTAGGTTAGGACATTAACTAAGATAAAGTGAAAAATTTTAAAAGAGGCTGAATATCAAGATGTCAAGATGACCACTCAGCAATAAGGCCTTATATTTAACTCTTGTATTATATGAGGAGGGGGAGAAAAAAAGGGCATAGTGGAATTATCCATTGCCTACTACTAATTTACTTATTATTGTATTATAACTTCCTCTCATTGTGCTCTTAATAGCAAGGAAGTGACTATTTTATTTCACAAATCAGAAATGAGGGGAAAAAAGTATACCTGAGGAAAACCTAAAATACCAGAAAATGTAAATTCAGTAGATTTACCTTGCGATTTACCTTTTTATTACTCTTTTCAATTTCCCATTGACTAGCATTAAAGTAAACACATCCTAATTATCCACACGATATATATTTGTAAACTTTTTTAGGTGGTTGGAATGTCGCATTATTTTTCCAATATAATTTAGAGTGAAAATACTCAAAGTAATTTTAAAAAGGATGACAAGAATTTTAAAGATTTAAAAATAATTTAAATAAACTAATAAACAGTGATAGTATGAAAATAGTTGTTCAATGTGGATTTCATTTTTATCAAGGTCAACATTGTTTTGTTCCTGGTTTTAATGATTATCAGAACACAGTAGGTTCTTACTTTAATTTTTCAAGGAGAAAGACACTGACAAATATTAGATAAAGAGGGAAAACTCTGCTCTTTCTATCTATAATATTTTTAGAATATCTGGTACTCCCAAGCCTCAGAGCAAGAGGTTATGATGGTCTCTCTCACTGACTGCTTCACTTTCACATACTGGGTTTCCCATGAAATGATTAATGTACTCGACAGTAGTCCCTCACCTAGTTATTAAAATCTTATCTCTACTGGAATGTCAATGGAATGCAAGTTTCCAGTAAGAGGTATGTTGTTGTTCTTTGTTATTTTAGGAAAAAAATATTTTAAAAAGCACATCCACCATCAATACTGCTGCTAAAAAGGCAAATATCACAGTGGTCACGGAAGACAATAAAGCAGACTGCTTCTGCAACCATTATAATTCATTTGCTTTAACTAGAGTCACACAATTATTTGTAATTGCTATTTTTAACTACCCATCAAATGTATGTACAGATTTGGTATCCTGCTTCTTGTATGCTCATTTTCAAAAACAAGTAAATATTTTCAGCCTTTTAATTTATTTCACCTTTATCATTGCATAGGTCATTGCTCACTTTTTAACTTTTAGGAAATGTAACATGGAATAGTTTGTGCAGATTCTCAGTGTCTATATGAAATGACAACTGAAGAACTTGCAAGCTCATTCTCTTCTGAAATGTGACAAAAATATTGTTCTACAACTTTGGGGGAAATAACAGGTTTTTCTTTTATTTCATACAAGTGTTTTTTTATCTTTTCTAAAATATTAGCATCTAAGATATTAGCATGCAGATAATTAAATAATGTCATTAGAAATAATACACGCTTATAACTTTCATAGATAATGCAGCTGAGGATACTAAAAGGAACAACAACAAAAAAGCCTTTTCTAATATTGTTCAAGGTATGGGAGTTGGGTTCTTCTATAAGCCAATCATTAGAAGGAGACAGGACAGGTGCTGCTGGAGCTGTTTATCAATGTAGTAGTAGAGGGACTCAGTTTCAGCAAGGGTGTTGCAAACATCAGGGTAATATGGAGGACAGCATAGGGAGAAAGGTAAACTAGATATTGAGAATACATTATATATGATATTGTGGCTTCAGAGAGATGTGAATGTATAGAGATATCATTTAAGATGAAGTTTAACTTAAAAGGGCTTGAAAGCTAACACAAGCAAAATATACAGTATAATATAGAGCCATTGAAGGGATTCATAAGGAAGGTAATGAATTCAGTGCATGAGAGCTTTATAAATGAGCTTTCTGAATGCATCTAAAGATGCCAAAGTTAAAATGAAAAAAAAAAAATGAATCCAAAGATGAAGATTACAAAATGGTTCAACTGGGAAATCGGTAGTGCATGAGAGATAAGTATCTTAGCAATAAGAACAGAAATCAGAAAGAAGTGCAGAAATACTGAAACAGCACAGTTTTGCTAGACAATTATAGGGTGTTTTGGTATACATAATGTTTGAGCTTGTTTGAACTGTAAATCCCATTTATCAACTCTCTGAAGTAAATATCTGTATCACTTACCCCATCAATTTCTTGTGTTGAAAAAACAATCAGCAGCCACCTGATTTAAAAGAGGAAAAAACTACATTAACATTAAACTTCTGGTATCCAATCTTCACAAAAATGTATCCTCTGAAAAGTGAGAAGCGTGTACATCTGATTAATCAGTCCAAACAGGACTTATTTACTAAACAAATGCAATTATAAAGGGAACTACTTTTCATCGAGAAATGGTCATCCTACGCATTATGATTTTATGGTTTTTGGATATGTGAAACTGACAGTAAACAGACAGGGACATCTAAGACTATGTAAAAGCCCTTGTGTCATTTCCCCCTCATAACCTACCCCAGTTTCAGAATTAAGACTGGCCAGAGAGCAATCATTCCAGACAGGTATCTGCTTCCATAGCAGACAGGAGGTGAAGTACATGAGCCCCAAAAGGAGTGTGATAATAAAATGAAGGCTGGAGTGGGTAGAGGAAAAGGGGAGCAGACACTCAGAATAGCTGCATGATCCCAGAGCAGTTTTGTGTAATAATGAGTCTAACATTTTCTGTATACAGAATCTAAGCTCCAAATAGGTAAATAAATGAAAAGGGAGCAAGGGAAGACAGGGAATGTATAAGCAAAATTCCTGGATTTTGGCATATGCATTATTGTTAGTGACTTTATGCCTGATAGATTTACTGGCAGTATTATACCTGCCCAGAGGGAAAATAAAGGAAATGCATCCTTTGGAGACACTGGTTTCGTGGGCTCGCAGTATAATAAATAAATAAAAACTATGCAAACTAGAATGAAAAAGATATGGAGAGGTATGCACTCGTGAGGAAAAAAAAAAAAGAAAAACAAATAGTAATTGGTGGAGTACAGCAGTTATAGCACAAGATTAGGAGCAACAGCAGTGCAACTACACTAAGCGCTACCCGCTAGCCCCGTATTTGAAGCCAAGACCATATTCCTCAGAAACCAAGATAGCAACAATCCACACTGCTGGACTGTAGCCGGATGGGTAGCCGTTGAGTCCTTGCTAATCTTGGTAGTTCCCCTCTTAACTCTCTATCAAGTGAGTTGGTGTAGAAAGGATTTAACTCCTGGGACAAATTCAAGCAAGTAATAGAGAATAGGTCTATGGTGTGACTGTAACTAATTTATGAGGCTGTTTTTTCTCTTAACCTCCTGAACTTGCAGATAATCTCTATAAATATTTTTTCCCATGTTAACATTGGCCAGGTGCAAGATATTTTTCATTCAAGAAAATGACAAGTTTCTATGAAACTCTTGCCAATTAAATGGAAATTCAATGATGATGTTGTTGATGTACTAGGCTGAAGTCTCCTTTTTTCAGGAAGGTATGGTAGGCACGTGTTTGCCAGACTGTCAAATGTCCTCTGTCATTTCAAAATCCCTGTCTCCAGAATGCAGACAGATGTTGTCTGTGTACTCAAATAATCATAAGGCCTTTAGAGGCAAGCCACTTAAAAATAGATGGGGGAAATTAAAAAGAAAAACAACAACAAGAACAGCTGCTTTGGGGAGATGACCAAGATGGAAGGGTGCTCATTGGAGAATCCCTGAGTAGCAAGCAGGCAGGGTTTGCAAAAATCAAATAAGCATGAAAAAGACACAGGAGACAGTTCAGGCATATCAATATGATTGATGACTGCCTAGCAATCCATTGATGTCTGCTTCAAACAAGGTACGTTTGCTAGGCCAGGCTCTCACATAGAAAAGCTTAATTTCAGAGTCCTAAAGATCCTGGTTCAAGAAGATGCACAAAGATCTGATAAAACAAGGAAAACTGAAGAGTTGGGCTCTCAAAACAATCTTTGAACACGCCTGACTGTAGTGACCAATCTTCTCCTTTAGGATGGCTCTCCTCCAGAAAGAACTCCTGCCATGGCTGTTAAGTATTTCCATCTCATGCCATGAAAGTTTTCTTCATCCCTTATAACAACTCTCCCTCATCTGCAAATTACTGGGAAGAGACATTCTGGTTTGAATTTGCCATTACTTTTTCCTCCTCAAGCATCTTATCGCTAGAAGGTATGAACATTTTTCCTCTAAAAACAGATTCACTGAACTAAAGTTTCTGTTTTCTATTAAGTAATGTCATACCTGAAATTTAAATGGTAAAACTGTTACAACAAGAATGAATAAGATAAACTACCTTGCATGTTTATCAAATTTATGATAGTCTGCAAATCATTTAACTGTTTTTTTTGTTGCTGTAAACTGATGGCTAAAAATGTATTTCAGTGACTGTAGTTAAAAATTTTAGTGCTCTGTAAAACTCACCAGGCAGCTGTGATAATCCATTTAATCCATGCAGATGAATCCTTTGTTAATGCCATTCACGCTGATTGAGGATCTGAATATGCAGCGCTTTTTTTTTCCTTTTTAGACAGCAGATCTTCTCTTTCCTCTTGTTAGTAACTGGTCTATAAACTCTGTTCCATTCTGCTGTTGTTTTCCCCTCTGAACCTGTTTATATTAAAATATACATGTGATGTACAAATATGACCAACTACTCAGTGATCACTGATGTATGTTACACTGCAACAGTTTTTTGTTGGGGCTGCACTTTATTATCCCTAACCATGTAGCATTTTATCAGCAATGCAATCAAATTATTTCAAGGAAATCATGGGTGAAAGTATAGTTCAACATAGAAAAGGTACAAGATTTCACCTCAGAAAAGATAAGTCTTCCTTCCTGTTCATTTGAAATAATGAACAAAGACTACCTTGCATGATTTTCTTTTAAAGCTATCCTAACCACCATTTTTGATAAAAGCATAAAAAAGAGGTGACACTTTATTTAGTAAAGACTTAATGTACTTTAAATAACAATCAGAAAAACACTGGCTGCACTTTTAAGATGAATCTTAGTGGTATCTTCTGCAAGCTGGACTGGACAATTACCCAGATATGCATATGGGTAAAGGACAACTACTCTGAGTGCATTTTACCCATTTTGCTCAGGCTTCACATGCCAGATTTGACTACACAGTGCATATGTGACATCTGACTTAGGTCCACCTAAACATATACAGTTTTATGTGCACATGTGTTGTAGCAATCTCTTTGTAAGCTCCAGAAATCCAAAGGGGAGAGTTGCTGTGCTTTCACATACCTAAAGTAAGAAAAAAAGCTGAAATCCATATCCAGCAGAAAATTCACAGAGGATATTCCAACCTGAGGACTTAGAGGCTTTTTTAGAGGACTTCTCCTTTAGCATAGCACAGGTTTTCATTAGCTTTATTTTTTAGTGCTGAAGTCTACCTGATCTGTGGAGGTTCACTTTAAGGAGACTGAACACTGCCTAGAGTAAACAGACAGGGGGGTCACTTCCTTTGGAGAAGTCCCTTGAGTAAGATGGGCAGTCAGTTACTGAAGAGGAAGCAAGGACAGGAACCTACAGCAAACTGGCTGCTGACAGCTATTCAACAAACAGCTATCTGTTCTTTGTCAAACAGAAGTATGCAAAAAAGCATAATACTCCTGAAACAGTACTGTATTACTTTCAATTACTTAGTGCAATTAATGTCTGACAGCTAACTTTATATAACAACTTTATAAGCACAGCTCATCCATAAAGAATATTAATTCCTATGTGTAAGCATAGTACATCCTTATCCCACAGTAGGGAGAAAAGACTTGGTAAGCCAGCATGCACTCACTAATGAGTAAAAAGCCTATGGGCAGCTAATAAATACTGCAAGTTCACAACCTACATGTACTGTACAATAATCAGTTTGTCTGCCAAATCCCTAGTCTCTTTCTGTGTCCTAGTTTCCCAATAGTGTAGGGAGCAATTGCCTCAGAAGATACAAGATCAGTCACAGTAGTTATCCTGTACTTATAGATCAGTCTGTAGTTAGCCTCTACAGAAATCTGTTGCCCACTACTCATCATTTAGTTACTCAAATAGCTTTTATCCTGAAAATGGAGAAGCAATGGGAATTTGGTACAAAGTTTGCTTTGTATTCGCAGAGAGCCTTTTGCTTTTCCAGGGAAAATCCATTCTGATCCAACCAGTTGACGCAGATTTAAGTCATATGTAATGCGTGAATAGAAGATTTAAACGATTGAGCTTGTTATTTTATCATGACTATCTAAAGCTTTAAATGACCCCATTGCTTTCTGGGTGAGCTTCCTATGAAGTGCTTGGCAGCCAGTGCAAGAACATAAGGACTACCAAGTAATTTAGGCTGGTATGTCTAACTGATCTCATGTTTTACATTTTGTAGGGATCAAAACGGTTGCCTCCATAGAACACTTACCTATTTGAAAATTCTCACTTGATAGCACCTTTCACCTGCTTTCTAGGTTTGAGGTTCACCTTTTCTCTCTTTTTTCTTTCTCTCTTTTTTTTTTTTTTGGCAGAAGTCTTCTACAGGACAACGCAATTACATAATTTCACACAATGCATGCTGAGCCTGCTTAGCATGACGTTTTGCCAGGCAAGACTGCCTCTCCTAGTTCAAAGCTTTCTGAAGATACCATGGACTGCTGCAATATCATCAGTACAGTCCACATCAAGGGTTCATAAACCTTTTCTGGATGGATGCCATCAACTATGGTAGCCAGGAGCAGCAGAAAGAATATCCGAGGCAGCTCCTCTCTTTTTTAGCTGCTTTAAGTCACTTATCTGCCCACATGCATACAGACATGTGCTCTCTGACAAACAGAGCAACATTATTTGGTGTTTCACATGCAAGTAACATGCAGCTGGGCCATGCTTCTTAGCAGCAAGCTCCTCAAAGTCAGTGAATTAGTTCTGAGATAAGACTGAGGGGAAAAAGACTTTACTGAAGTACTCTGTCCTTCTGTTTTATCTCCCTTGTAAACTTTCTCTCATCTTGGCTTTAAACTTGCTCACTTCTTGTGAAGAAATTTCCACACAGGGTTTTCATCATTTGACAGCTGACTCAGTATCTATTTATCATAGCAGCACTTCATTCACTAGGTTTCCAGGATTTATTCATTTATTTCTCCTTACAGTGTTTGGTCTGCTTTCTGCTACTTCTCTTTCATTTTGTTTTTCAGGTATTTCTTTGTCCTTGTATTTAAGGGCTGTCTTTTTAAGTATTCTGTTCTGTACTGAATGGGAACTACACTATTCATCTTGAAATCTGAAATCACATCATTTTCAAATACTGACCACTTTCTTCCACTGTAATCTCTTTTTTGCTTCTAATTGTGTTGCCTCAGAGAACTTTGCAGCTTTTATTTTCACATTTTTGTAAATTGCCTTCTGTCTAACACCACTTCTCTAATACTAAATTTCAGTTTAACTCTAGGAAGGCTGAGTTCCCTAGTGCTCTCTGATGTTCACTATGCCCTCATAGCTTGGACAGATGACCCACATTTGTGTTGATTCACACAAGACTGAGCTGGTATTTTTTTTCCTGCCAGAAAAGCAAGATCCATTTTTATTCATGCATGCCTTTCCAGCAGAGCAGTGTTTGCAAGAAGTTGAACAGTGAGCAAGTTCAAATACTTCCCACAAATAGGGCTGCAATTTGATTCACTAAATGTATTTCACCATTGGTATTTTCAATTACTGGCTACTGTTTCCACCTTTGGCACAGAAGTCAGGCATTACAACAAGTAGGGTAGGCTCAGGTACTGATCAGTTTTAAGCACCCGTTGCTTATATGGAATTGCAGACGTTATCTTTGTCCCTGTTCCTGTGTCAAGAGCAAAGCACTGTTTATATTGACAGGTTTAGGAACCTGATAAATGAGATTGATCAATTTAATGTTCTTTCCATAGAGGAGACTATCTCCTCTGATCTCTGATGGTGATCACAAACCCTGCTTGAAAACGGGACATTTTTTCCCTTCTCCCACCACCTGCCAGCTTACTGCCGCGGCCGCTCGGGGTTTTAGAGCCAAGCCGAGCGCGTCCTTCACGCTGTAGAAGCCCAAGCCCAGGAAAAAACGTCCCGCCGGGGCAGCGGGCGGAACGCCGCGCCGCGCGGGAGCAGCTACTCGCGGGGCGCTG